GGTTTGGACATCAGTGCAGCTGTACAAGTATGAAGGTCAGTGTGGGTGGGTTGTGCCTGTGACAGTGGGCCAATGCTGCTATAAATGAAACAGGCTAGGGACAGGTTCCAAAACTGGAAAACCTGTCTACAGAATCATATGGATACCAAAAGTTCTCATGGTCTCTGACAATTACTACCTAGAATAATGAAAATGAACTATTATAAATAGAAGATACCATTTTTCAACGGGGAAGACATGAACTACAATTTTCAGGAAACTGCGAGGATGTTCAACAGAAATAGCTTTCTGCACGGGTCCCTTTTCCTATTCTGTTATTACTAGAAACAGGATAATACATCAGTCAGACCCATGGTCTAACCCATAACTATCTGCCTTATGGTCTTATATAAATGCTATAAACTGACATCCAAATGGCCATAGCTCGACTGTTGTTACTGATCCTTAAATGACATGATTCATAGGTAATGTCTTTCTTCTTTTCAAGGGCTTTTCTCTTTTGCATGAAATAGTTAAACTTTCAATGAAGATTTGCTTAAAATTCTGGTTGTGAGTTCATCTGGAAGAAGAGAGGAGAAGGTTATAGTATCTGCTCTAAAGAAAATAAGTGCTCAGCAGTCGTTGAAGTGGTCTACAGTCAGATCCCTGTAAGTGTTCTCACCGCTGTGAAATGCCCTAGCCTTTACCCAAAGCATATGCTTCTTGTCAGACTGGTCGAAGCACTCTCCTGGAAGTCTAACCAGCTGATGAGAGCACATTTTTGTGACTTAGGTATTCCAGAGCCTGAGTTAGAGAGCAGAATGCTGAACTGCTGGAGAAAAGGCATGGCATCAACATTTCAAGCAAGAGGTTTTGTGACAACAGGGTGTTGTTGACACCTAAGTCGGAGAGTCAGTTGTGAGTCACATTCATATGACAACATACGTCCCCGCCATGTAACAGGGTGGGTCCTGTCCCGCCCCTCCACAGGGAATACGATGACTGTAAGGAAGCTGATCAGAACAGTTTGTTGTTCTCAACTTGTTTTCAAGACAGGAGGTGAATGGAAGCAGTCAGCTCTCCAGGTGAATTATTGTGGCAGGCAAATCCAGTTTAGTCTTAGGTGAATCACCACAAACTTCGTTGTTGCGTATCACTGTCCCTTTACAGACAGAAGCTGTTTTATGTCTGACTCTAAAATAGTAGGTACAGCTCTGGGCACTGTTAAGACACAGATGACTAAACCTGCCCTGGAACATCACTACGTTCTGCAGCAGCCATGGTAAGGCGATGCTGTGAACTCCAATCCTATTTGTGGAATTAACTATGTACAGGAGGAGTTCCAAGATCAACAAAGCCATCTGAAATAGGGCTAAATGCAGAATCAAAGATAAAGCCAATCTGTATATATTTTTTTTTAAAACTGTGTTCGAAACATGTATTTGGTCATATGAATATGAGTCATGAGTCTGACTCCTTTCCCTGAAATGCTTGAATGCCTGGACAGCCGAGTTTTCAAGTGTGGTGCTACAGAATATCTGGCTTAGGAGGTTCCTACGCTGCAGTTTGGTGGATGATGGGAGAGTTTCCAGGGGAAGCACTGCTGTACATTATACTGCTGTTTCACTCCACCCCATGTATTCTCTAAGTTGCTTTCGGAAACATTGCTGACTAGACTACATTTTGTTCTGAGCGCATGTATCTGTTCTTATGTCTTGGCTGTTCAAAGCACTGAAAATGGTCCTTTCTCATAAAAAGCTATAGCATTTACACATGTTAAGAAATGTATCTTTTCCATACAGGCTCATAACATTTCCTCTCCAACAACAGAAGTAATTTCTGCTAAATAATTAGATTACAAAAGTCATTTAAATATCCAGTGCTGTGTGCGGCTTCTTTTTAGACTCTTTCTGTGCTGATTCTTGGCCTCAGGAGATCTGTTTCTGCTGAGTCTTGCAAACAGGTAAAGCCAATCAGCTATTCACGTGATCCCAGCCTGTCATGACTGAAAAGCTCTTCCATTCCAGCTCTGTTATTTTGAGCTCTGCAGGATCTTTTCAGCAAAGACAGCAGGAGCAATTAAGCTCTTTTCCATAGGCTGGAGAGATCGTCAGATGCTTTTTTAAAGAAACAAAATATTGACCATTTCTACTGCTGTCAGGTGCAAGTATTCTTTCAGTTAGTGCCATGATGCTGTAAGGTCCTTCTTGAGGGAATATGCCTATCTTGTTTTTGTGGCATCATTTTAAGCTCCAGATGCAATCTGCAAAATCAAGCCAAATAGGAATTAATTTATCTCTGGATGACTATAATTGAGGCTTTTTGCAGTATCATATGAAGTTGGCTTTTTCCCATTCACCAGGAGCATTTCAATTTGATAGAAAGTTAGAAATCTAAACTTGAGGTCTTCACACTTCAGCTTTTGGTGGCAGACAGAGAAAAAGGCCCTCTTGAGGTGAGATTCATCCTATCCTAATGCAGAATGTGTTCATGTGACACTCATTCTAAAACTGTCTTTTCACCACTAATTGGGAAACTGCCCCAGATCAGATGACAGAGTATAACAGTTGTGACGGCTCAGGAAATAAAATCTGTAGGGATGTCACAGCCAGAAGTATTGATCGCTCCTGCGCAGCACCGGCTGGAGAGCACCTGCATCCTGATAAGGTGCTTTAACAGAGCTGGAACAGATGGTAGAAAACAAGACTGAATCTAAAAGCTGATCACTGCTTTTGCTGCTGCATACCTTTGGAAATGGCTCCTTTATCTTCCATCACTAACTCTGGATCTGATGTGTTATATGAAAATACTTTCCATGCCCATAACTTCTTTTCCCTACAAGGATGACAAGAATATCCCCAATAAAGACAACACACAATGCAAAAGCAAACATCTAAGCTTTCAATAAAAGCTGCTCTCTTTGCAAGAAGTAAAGGCATTCTTCACGTTCAGATGAAGGACCAGACATATCTAAAGAGAAAATAGCTGTGTAATTATCTGCAAGTTGAAATGATTGCTTGTGGAACCTGTTCAGAGAGGTACACTTCCACTGACTGATAGGCATCCTCTGTAGTGAACAGAGCCCTTCTGTTTACAGTGAAGTTGTATTGATAGACTCAGGAAAAAAAAAGTAAGTATGATCTTAATGTTTACATTGGGTCTTGTCTGCTACTACATGTGAAGTCCTGAAAAACCAAACTGTTTCAGGAAATGGACAAACCCAGGACTAAAAACCTACTGAAGGCTTTTTTGCTGATAAAGTTTAGTGATGGAACATATGCCCCTAGAAAAAGAGAAAGAAGAACAAGCTGGAAAAGCACAAAAATAGCAGAGGAAAAAGTATCAGAAACTAAGAAAAGAGAAAGAATGGCATTGTTAGAGAATTCTGCTGATAGATGTACATGGATATATGCCATGATACCAAGTCAATTGCTTTTTGCCAGACAAGGTACAGCTGGTGTGCTAAGAACAAATAATGGATCATAGTTCAATCATTATGAGAGAAAATGCTTTTCAAAGATGATTTTAAGCAATTTACCACAAACTCAGACAATCCAAAATAGAATTGTGGATTGTAGTCCCAAAGTAGCTGAAAGAATAAGAGCTCTGCTCTGATGGCTGCTTATCCCCGCTAATTGAAGGATGCCTCTGTTGAAGGTCACCTTCTGAAATGCTTCCTGATTGCTCACTTCACAGATAAGGTACCACCATTTCTTAAAACTCCAAAGAAAAGAGAGAAGGAAAAATTGCCACATGAATTAAAGCCTGTGTATCCCCAGACAAGGAGACATGTATGTGATGGTCCGTGATTGGCACAGGAGGCAGTCTGTTCTGAATGTGCTCCTCATTCCTACGCATTGCAAAGCATGAACCAACTGAAAGAATAAATACAAGGCTACTCCTTGAAAAAGGATGGAAGAGGAAAGAATCTGAATCATAGGAACAGGGAAGACCATACAGGATACAACAGCCAGATAGGATTGATAAAAAGGACAGAGCCCATAGAAAATATGCCATAAATTTTGCACACCCCCAGATGAAGCACACCTGTGTCCTCTCCACTGGAACAGAACCTGACCCGCGAGCCTGCAATTGCAGAGCCCCACCAGCACCGGCACCTTGAGCTGCCGGTGGGACACGGCTGTATGGGAATGTAGCACACAGCTGCATGTGCAGAATGGGCGCCCACAGCCAAAGTCAGACTCACAGTGGTGTCACAGGAGTGTGACACAAATGAAGGTGTCACACACTGAGGTGTCTCACATGTGTGACTCGCACACACTGAGTGCATGAGGAATAAGCGGGGTGCTGAGAGCCACAGATACACACGTGGGATGTGTCACCCACACCTGCGTGTCACTGTTGAAAGATGAACGGGCTTGTGGTTTGTTATATTGATCCCAATCCCTGTGAATTAAGACTCTGAACAGAGTTACGATGTTGACTGAGCAGAGGTGTGCCTGTATTCAACGATGGGCGAGAGATACCCGTAACGCTGACCTGTGTGACACACACTCGTGTCGCTCACACAGATATGTCGCACTCACCCGTACTTCACGCTGACCCGTACATCACTCACTGCTGTACGCCACGCACACACCTGTACATCACACAGTCTCGGATGTGTCCTGCGGTCGGGCAGAACGCCGTCCCACACAGACGCACCTCACAAGCGCACGGATGGCGTCACGTGTGTCACACACACCTCCCAGGCAAGCGGTGCCTCACGGGCATGTCACGGCTTCTCTCAAAAGCGCGCACTCGGCGTCACCGCGGACACGCGCGCTGCTCCTGACGGCCGCACACCCGCTGTCCCGCGCCCCCTCTCCCCTCCTCTCCGCCGCTGTGGGGCTCCGTGCCCGCCCCGCCCCTTTCCCTCCGCGCTCAGCGTGCGCCGCGCCCCCGCAGCGGGCGGAGCGGGGCGGGGCGGGCGGGTCCGGCCCTCCCGCAGCCCTCGCTCCGCGGGCGGGCGGCGGCGCCCCGGGCGGGCGCTGAGCGGGGGTAGCGCCGCTGTTGGCAGCATGTCGGGATCGCGCTGCCAGACGCTGTATCCCTTCTCCGGGGAGCGGCACCGCCAAGGGCTCCGCTTCGCCGCGGGGGAGCTCATCACGGTGCTGCAGGTGCCGGACGGCGGCTGGTGGGAAGGGCAGAAGGAGGACGGGCTGCGCGGCTGGTTCCCGGCCAGCTACGTGCAGCTCCTGGAGGTAGGAGCGGGGCCGAGTGGCGGCGGGGCCGCGCGGGTGGCTGCGGCGGCCGGGCCGGGCCGGGCCGGGGCACGGAGAGCTCCGCAGCATTCCGTGCCGCGGGGCTCCGGAGTCGCTCCCACTCTCACGGGACGCCCCGTGCCCCGGGGCGATCGGTGCTGCTGAGCTCTGCTTCGGAACGCGGGCTGCTCCGGACGCTTGTTTTTTCGCTGTTGCTCAAAGGCAGCAGTCGGCGGAGGAGACGATGCAGCTCCTGGCGGCCATGCGTGTCGGCTGGGCGAATGCCTCCGCTCCTCTCCTCCTTCTTTCACTAAGCATCTCCTGGGTTGATGCTCTAGAAGAGGTAACCCAGATATGTCCCTTCTGCTGCAGCAGCTTCCAGCTGGCAGGGCACCCTACCAGCGCATGTGGTCTTGCCCAGAGCACCTTAGGGACCCAAAAGCTGTGACCTCACCGTCAGGATGCCAGGAGGTGCTGTACCTCCAGTTGTCCTCACAGCCCTGCAGCTGTGAGCTCGGGCAGCAGTTCCATTCCTGCAGTACTGCTTGCTCCCCAACTGGCTTGTTACGTTCTTTTCCGTGCAAGGAAGACACCGTCCAAGTGTAAAATTCATGTCTGCCTTCGCAGTCTTCGCATTTGTGAAAGTGAAATCTGCAACATCCCTTAGCACTGCCAGAATCTGCCATGAGCCCATCAGCCCTCCTATCATTGTCAGTCAGTCAGGCCATGAACATGGTGCTGCAGCAAAGCAGTCAACAGCGCAGTGCTTCTCAGTCACCTCTGCCTGCCAGGTTTCTGCTGGGATGCATTCCCTGCTGGGCTGCATGTGCCCAGGCTTTCCCGTCTGGGACATGGGGAGGGCAGGGTGCACAGCATTGAGCAGAGGCGGACCGCCAGGTGCCTGCAGAGCAGAGCTCTGGGAGCAGGACATTTGCCTGTAGATCTGCAATCACTCTTCCGTTTTGCCAGTCCAAATGAATAAAAAGATCTGTGATGTTTCCATGGAGTTGCTGTTGCTCATTCTTAGCTGTTGTAAGAAAGCGGAGGCAGAATTTCCCCACTCAGCATTACAGGAGTGAGGCCGGGGACTTCTCTCTGCCTCTGAAGCACTTGAGAATTTTGTGCTATAGTTTAGGAGTGTGGGAGTCCGTTTGTTTGTCAGGTTTGCCACCTACAAGATCATTGACTGAGATATGTGAATGTTTGTGGTCTCGCACATTGCCAAACATTTACACATCTAATCAGGAATTTAGAAATTATTGGAGACAGAGTGGATCATGCAGTGAGACAAACCTTGCTCAGTGGAAAGTCAACACGATGACTTTGTTTTATGTCATCTCCCTCTTGGAAACTCCTTCCTTTCTGCAGGGGTCTGAGTGTGTCACACTGTGCTCGGTGTAGCTGACCTGACTGAAGGCACCACAGCAACCCCATGTCTTCCATTCTTTATCCTGTGCACAGACACTGGGGCTGGTACTAGGGAGGTAAGAACACGTAGAGGATGGGCTCATGAGCACGATCCTCTGATCAGCACTCATGCTGGCTTTGGGTGCCCCATCGCCACAGCTTCTGGTTCAGTACTATGTTGGGAGCAAAATTTACTCTCATGGAGGATACGATCTCCTATGGCTGCCTTAATAAAGGCAGTGCTCATGCCAGCAGGTACTGCGGCCCACAGCTCTTTGCTCTGAAGGACAGCTGGCTACGTGCTCTGCTGCAGCAGGAGGGAGCAGGTCGTGATCCTCATGCTTGTATTCTTGCTCACACTGGCTGATAGCACTTGGCTCTTGCAAAGAAAAGTAGGTGTTTGTGCCTTTTGGCTCACTAGGGCTGGTTTGAATGGCACAGGGAGGTCAGGAGGTTTGGCAACCTCTGGTTCCTGCTCCTTGCTGTGGTTGGTTGAAAGGAAGGATGATGGCTGGGAGGTCCCTGTCATGGCAACGATGTAAGTAGTGAGAGCTGGAGAAGCAGTGTGGTGTCTGGGGAGGAGAGCTTGGAAATAAAGAAGTCTCTGTGAGGTCAGGAGATGACACAGGTGTCACAGAGCAAAAGCAAGCACTTGGAAGGCATGTCCTACAAGGAGAGGTTGAGAACACTTGAGTTGTCTGGTTTGGAGGGATAGAGGCTCAGAGGTGACTTCACTGCTCCTGGCAGCCCCCTGAGGAGGGGCAGCAGAGGGAGGTGCTGGTACTTTGCTCCCTGGTCACTGATGACAGGACGTGTGGGAATAGCACAAAGCTGCACCGGGGCAGGGTCAGACTGGACATGAGCAAAAAGCTCACTATGAGGGTGGTCAAAGACTGGAACAGGTTCTTAGTGAGGTGGCTGACTCCCCTTGCCTGTTAGGGTTCTGGGGCATATGGACAATGCCCTCAGTAATATGCTTTAACTTCTGGTACTCCAGAAATGATCGGGCATTCGGATCTGATAATCTTCAAAGGTCCAATCTGACTGAACTCAGGAGGTTCTAGCTGTATGATGGGGTTGCCTGGACCACAGTCAGTCAAGAGAAATTTATACTTAATGTATGTAAGTAACAAAACTTATTTTTTAACTTTTTTTTTTTTTTTAAATTAAAACATAAAAAAAGAGAGTGAAAAAAACATAAAGCGAGTGGGAAATTTGAGCTTGTTTTCATGAAATGAATGCATCAGTCTGGTTTGATGGAAGTGGCTGCAATTCTCAGTGAGCTCTTGAGGAGTTCAGTAAAGATTTTGGATGAAATTTTACAATTCCTATGCTTCATCCTTGAAAACAGCTGTTCACAAAAAGCGATGACATGAAGCAGTTGTGACTGTGAAGTGAGGGATATCCTTCTCTGGTAAGGGAGGGCTTGATCAAATTTTTCTTCAAATTGAACATCTGACAGCAACTCTATACATTCCATTCAAAAATTCGCAGGTAGTGTATTTATGTTCCCTGAAAATAGAATTGCAAATGTACCCAAAAAATTGATTTTTTTGGCAATATGAAAGCCTGTTCTCAAATTTCTTTATCAAAATGGAAAACAAGGCTGTGCTTTTTTTGCTGTTCACAGGACTGTGTTTAGCCTATATATCAAAATGCATGAAAGTTTTTTACAACAAGGGGGTGAGGCACTGGCACAGGTTGCCCAAGGATGTGGTGGATTCCCAGTCCTTGGAGACATTCAAGGTCAGGCTGGACCAGGCTCTGAGCACCTGATCTAGCTGTAGGTGTCCCTGTTCATTGCAGGAGTGTTGGACAAGATGACACCTAAAGTCCCTTCCAGCTCTAAGGATTCTGTGGTTTTCTACAATTGTACAGAAGTGATGATATGAATAAGGTGTGATTGTGAAGTAAGAGATATCTTTCTCTGGGAAGACAGATAAAGTCCAATAAGAGTCATGACCAAATCCGATATGAAAGCTAGGCTTCATATTTTTTGCTGTTCATAGGACTGTGGAGTCATTAGCCAATGTATGAAAATGTACGAAATGATTTTTCATAACTTCAGCTTGCCATAATTTTTCATTTTGAACATTGTCATGGTTAGAAATGTAGCACAGATAAGTTGATTTCCGCCACAAAGACACGTTTGACTCATTTAAATGAGTAGTCAGATCCACCAGAAAGCTGAACCTGTGAGCTGTTCTTCATCTTCAAGTTCTGGCACAAGTTTTCCTTCGGATTCCATGGATGATTTGGTTTCATTTCACAAATGATAAAATCCTGTTGGCATTTTACCTCTTTTCTTCAGAGAGGAAATGATGATCCCACAATGAGCATCCGCACTTCTAAGGAACTCCTGGGATTAGTAATTACTCAGTCCCCTGAACTTCGTGAAATTCACAGCTCTCATGATAATGTAAAGTGTACGACACGTGGGTCTCAGTCACACCATGTTTGTGGCAGGCCCCAGAGGTGGGTCAGCCCTGCACCTTGCCCTTACCTGCACAGAGTTCCACTGTCACCTACAGTCTGTACTTGAGCTACGTGCAACCAACTCATGACAAATATTGCTAAAAATCACACGATGATGATAAAAGTTTATGGCCTTCCAAGGCTGCATTACCAGCTGCCCAGAGCTGCATGCAGGCTGCGGTGGCTCATGCTTGGTTTAGGGATGGTCACATACTTCTGGCTTCCGCCTTCACATGCACTTCTTTTTTGGTCTGAGATTTTTTTGGCCACTTGAGCAGAACCAAAGACTCTAATCAGACTGCTGCAGTCTAAGGCTTGTCCTTCCCAGTCTGGTGCAAAGAGGAATCTGTGGGTGATAAGCAATGCTTCGTTACAGTGAGCACACATGCAGAGCAGGTGGAATGAGGTGTGTGATACAGTGAGTGAGGATTTCTTAACAGCTGTAGGCAACAACTCATTACTTACCCAGAGGCTCTGCATCTCACCTGCAGCAGAGATGCTTGGGATGATAATGTGCGCAGACAGGTTTCTGTGCAGCGCCAGACCCAGGAGCATCCCTGGAGAAGTTTTGGGTGTATTCCAGTTTGCCACAACAATACCCATTGCAGAACGGTGGCAAGATGGGGTAGGGGGTGGGTGGGAGGTATGGAACATACTCCAGGACGTGTTTTGCGTGGAGTCCTTTGGGGAGATACTGGCTGCTGCATCTGCCTTTTCTGAGATGTGCCTTCCACAACGATAGAGAGATGTGTCATTCAGTCACATTTGCAAGTGGTTTGTTTTAAAATCTATTTTGGGTGCTGCTTTTTGTATTTGTGGTTAGCTGGAAATCACTTATATAAGCAGCAGCAGTAGCAACATATGCAAATTTGCTGATAATTGTCAGTAGTTTTTATAGCTGCAGCCATCCCCCAGATGTGATTCTTTGTGTGAAGCACAGCGTGTGCTTCCAGCCTGTCTGGAGGTGGCTGTGGAATCTGGGCAAGCAGGATGGAGTAGAGCTGATCTTATCTGCACAGCATGGCATGCTGGAACCATGATATGTTCTGGAGGGAAGGAGTCGTGCACTGTCCCGATGCCTGGTGCACGTGCGGGCAGCGTCATGTGTTACTTCCACT